TCCAGGATGACCGTGGGCAGAGGCTGCTCTGGCAGCACTCCCTGGGCTCCCTGTGGATGGGGCTACTGAACCCAGCATGATCAGGGACTGACCAAGCCCAGCTCAATCCTGGATTGCACCAGGTCTGGGTCCTACTACATTTAAACTGTAGAGGCACAGCAGGGGTAGCTCCTGGACCTGGCATGAGCCAGGACTGTGAGAGCCTTCCTTTATCGACTAATTGTGTAGTCAATAAAAATGTTATTGACTACAGGATTAATGAGTTACTCCCCTCTTACCATCCTTAGACTGGAGTAATAGAACTGGGATGACATTCAATAGTTCAAGGTCATGCGGCTAGAGATTAATAAGAAGAATTTCTGCTATGAGATGGAAGCTCATCGGCTGGAAGTGACAAAGAAGGAAAAGATCCTGAGTTTGTGGTTCAACCACAGGATAACTATAAGCCATCAATGTGATGTGGCTATAAAAAAGCAAATGTGATCCAGGAGTGTATCGTGACATATATCATGTAGAATGGCATTAATATTCTATAAGACACTTGTTTGGAATACTGTGTACACTTCTGGCCACTCATGGTAAAGCAAAACAAAACAAAAAAGCCACACTAACTGGAATGGCGGCAGAGAAAGGCTACTAAGTTAATCAGGGGAATGGAGAGCTTGTCATATTAGGGGAAATTAAAAGAGCTTAGCTTTTTTAGCCTGTTCAAAAAAAGGCTGAAAGATATGATTGTGCTACATAATTACATTGGGAAGGAAAGGAGAGTAGCATAAATCTCTGGAGGGGAAGAACTATTGAAGCTAACGGACAGTGTTGGCATAACAAACGGGAATAAATTGGCGATGAACAAATTTAGGCCTGGAATTAGTTGATGTTTTCTAACCAGATTGAGGTTCTGGAACAATCTCCCAGTAGGAATCATGCATATAACAACATAACTAGTTTTAAGATAGAGATTGACAAATGTAGAGGGAAAGTCCTGTTGAGTCCCTGTTATCCTGTGATGACAGAATATACTTAGTCTGGTTAGCACACACAAGCTGTGAGTAAGGTTTCCAACTGCTGAAAAATATTTTTATGGACAGTAGAGAAAAAATTACAGACAACCACACTTTTTTACAGACACAGTCTTGTAAAGATGGCTCAAAAGGACAAAAGTAAACAGTATTTAGTGTTTTTATTCATACATCACAACAGCAATGCGTTATGCTTGTTTAACCTACTTCCGATCTACATCCGCATTCTCCAAGTTCTCCAGACTGTGATCATACACAGCAGCAGCCACACTGTCAACCATTGCTTTAGTAAAGGTTCATTTTTGTCAATAATCCATCCAGCATAACAGTGGACAATTTATTTCTTATATTTAAGTGACTGCCCCATTGTGTCTTGCTGGCAGGGAGTCTGTGGGAGGCTGCTATATGCCCAGCCTGCTGTATTCCATGCCCTGCCCCCCAACAACGGGGAGCCTGGCAGGGGAGTGTGCTGTACATGTGCCCACCAGAAGTTGCTGCTGTGGTGACACAAGTAATACTGAAGAAGAGTTCAAAGTCAAAGGTGGAAAGAGCCCCTGCCCCAGGCATTGCCCCTGGAGTGGCCTTATGGCATGGCACTCACCCTGGGGCCAAGGAGGAGGAACTCCTCAGCTCCACTGCAAAGCTCAGTGTGGGTTTTTTTTTAAACTGATATCTAAATGATTTTACGGGCAAGTCCAATTTTAGCCCTTTTTTATGGAGTGTCTGGGAATTCACTCATGGTTGGCAACACTGGATGCTCAATGCCGATGGACTCTTAGATAATGAAGCTGTCAGAGATTACTGAGTGTTGAATATTTCGGTTCACACATCCTCAAAAGGTTAGAATATGACCAAATTTGGGTAGATTTTTGAGGAGACGGCAGTAGGCACTAGGGATGTAAGCGACTAGTCAATTACCTGATAAGCAGAAGCTTATTGGATAGTCGAGTAGTGACTCCCTTAGTTGCTTTCTCCTCCCTTTGCTGCCTCTATCAGAGGCGGGTACAAGGGGGGTGCAAGAGCCAGTGCTGGATGGAGCTGGCTTAAAAGCTGATTCCCCCCAGCACTGTCTCCACAGTGGGGCAGGGAGGCAGAGGCATAATGGGGGGACCAGGCACAGGCTGGGAATCAGCTGTCCCGGCTTGTGCACAGTCCTCACCATTGCGCCTCTGTTTTTTAAATGTATTAAGAGCCTGGCAGCTCTTAATAAATTTTAAAACCAGAGCTGCAGCAGGGTTAGCTTCTGGGGCTGGGAGCTAGTCCCACTGTGGCTTTGTAGCCCCCCCCCCTTATCAACGAATCGAGTAGTTGATGGAATTAGCTAATTAAATGCAATTTAACGTCTCTAGTAGGCACGTCCCTGACTGTAGAGTAACCTCCTTGCGGTTGCCAGGCCCTGCCTCAAAGCCTGGAGAGGCCAGAGTTTCTCAGTAAAACGATTATAGGAGTTTTTGTTCACATAAGTAAAACAGTGTAATTCTCCCCACCCTACCTCCCTCCCTCCTCCCGCCCTTCTTAGCCTTGTTCTCTGAAATAGCTGACCTGGTTTTAATAACATTTTCTAAAAGAAGTCAAGCTGAAGTAGACACCCACCTTTGGAAATTTCAGACTGTTAGGGCACATCTGCACAGCAGGGCTAAAGCCGAAATAAGCTGCGCAGCTTGAGCTACGTCAATTGCGTGGCTTAAGTTGAAATAGCTTATTTCAGCTTTTTATACTGTCTGCACAGCAGGCAGTCTGAGTTAGACACCCTTCCTCCAACTTCCTTTACTCCTCGTACAATTTGGGTTACAGGAGTTAGAGAAAGAAGTCCTCCAGCTTGACCTTATTTCGACATTCTGTCAAAATAACTGCTTGTAGCGTAGACACAGACTATGTTATTCTGGAATAACATCATTTATTCCAAAATAATGCTGCTGTGTAGACATAGCCTTAATGTTTGGCAAAGATATACCTAACTGAAAACTGGGTTTTATAATTGAAAATGTCAGTCAACCTTAACTAGAGATTATGCTACCAGCCTTGCCCATACCCATTCAAAGAAATCATCTGCTCTCTTGTAAATATTTCATGGATACACATCTGGAATCAATTCTATGTTCTATTAACAAAGGACAGATGCCCTCCTGGATGAGCAGAAATTTTTCCTGGGAGGGGACTTTTAGGGTGTTGATGGAGCACCGGTACGTACTTAATACAGAATTGCTTCTTTCCTATGTCTCTTGGATTCCATAGCTGCATTGTCAGAGAGCACAAACTCTGTGGCTAAAAAACAAAACTGGTGTGGTTCGTTGAGGAAAAGCCAAGTCAAGCCTAAATCCTTGGACACTCAGACTCAAAGGTCTGAGAATGTAGGGGCTCGGTGGAAATCTTTCAGAGTCCCTGCTGCTTGCTACAGGTAACTGTTGGAGAGAAACATCCTAGATCATGTAATGCTGGGCGTTACACAATCGAGAGACTGACTTGTGCTTCCTGCACCTGAGTTTGTTACAGTGTGGCTGCATGTGGGGAGACAGACTGGCTCATACTTTCTTTATTCCTCACTAGGTCTTTGACGTGGAACTTGTACAGGAAACGCTGATTTGACCTTCCCTGTCCTTCAGCCATCCCTGCTGTGGGCAGGGCTGTTTTCCTGAGATGGCAGGCCGGCTGCCTCGCTCTGCGGACCTAACCCGCTTCTGCCAGAAACTCAACCGGGTGAAAACACTGGAGGAGGACATGATGGAGACAAACTTCAACAGATGCCTCTCCACTATTGACCTGACACTGTTGGGCATAGGGGGCATGGTTGGCTCTGGCCTGTATGTCCTTACAGGCACAGTAGCCAAGGAGATAGCTGGCCCTGCTGTCATTGTTTCTTTCATCATTGCTGGCTTTGCCTCTTTGCTGGCAGCTCTCTGTTATGCTGAGTTTGGTGCCAGGGTGCCTAAGACAGGCTCTGCATACATGTTCACCTACGTCTCCATGGGTGAGATCTGGGCCTTCCTGATTGGCTGGAACGTGCTCCTTGAGTACATGATTGGGGGCGCTGCAGTAGCACGGGCATGGAGTGGCTACCTGGATTCTATATTCAATCATAAAATAAAAAATTTCACTGAGACCCACATTGGCACATGGCAAGTGCCATTCCTGGCACATTACCCAGACTTCCTGGCAGCAGGCATCCTACTGATAGCCACAGCATTCATCTCCTTTGGGGCCAAAGTGTCCTCCTGGCTTAACCACGTGTTCTCGGGCATCAGCTTAGGTGTGATCCTCTTTATCCTCATTATGGGATTCATTCTTGCAGAGCCCAAGAACTGGAGTGCCCAGGAAGGTGGCTTTGCGCCATATGGACTGTCAGGCATCATGGCAGGCACGGCCACCTGCTTCTATGCCTTTGTAGGCTTTGACGTCATAGCAGCCTCCAGTGAAGAAGCCAGAAACCCCCAGAAGGCCATTCCCAGAGCAATAGCCATTTCTTTGGGCCTGGCCACGGGGGCCTATATCCTGGTGTCCGTGGTGCTGACGCTGATGGTGCCCTGGCACACGCTGGATCCCGAATCCGCCCTGGCAGATGCCTTTTACAGAAGGGGTTACTCGTGGGCAGGGTTTATAGTAGCTGTTGGTTCCATCTGTGGTAAGTATGAACAGGCTAAAAGCTCATCATATCCCAGCCCCTGCTCTAGCAGCTTGGCCTGCATCCTCTAGCAGGATATGTGAAAGATGTAACCTTTCTGGGATACACACTGCATGTTTCCAGGGCCTGAGTCATAGCCTCAAGGTATTGGTTAGCTCTTGCAGTCCAAGGTTCTGTTCCTAGGTTTGCCACCAGGCCTGCCACCTGGGGGCAGAAAAGGGGGCAATTGCCATGGTACCTGGAGATTCAAAAGGGCCTGGAGCTTCTGGCTGCTGCTGGAGCCTCAGGTCCCTCTAAGTTGCTCTGGGAGCTGGGGCAGAGACTCATCACAGTCCGGATGGCGCTATGGGCTGAGTGCCCTCAGGCCCACCCCTCTTGCCCTCAGCCTGCAGAACTGCCTCCCCCCTACCTCTCTGCACAAGCTAGACAAAGGTAACTCCACCTCCTTGCAGGTCCTCTTCCCTGTGAGTTCACTCCCATTGCTTGTGGCTATCTAAGTTGCTCTGGGAGCTGGGGCAGAGACTCATCACAGTCCGGATGGCGCTATGGGCTGAGTGCCCTCAGGCCCACCCCTCTTGCCCTCAGCCTGCAGAACTGCCTCCCCCCTACCTCTCTGCACAAGCTAGACAAAGGTAACTCCACCTCCTTGCAGGTCCTCTTCCCTGTGAGTTCACTCCCATTGCTTGTGGCTACTTGTCCAGGATGGAGTTCCTACTCCCGGGCAATCTCTCCCTCTGGCCAAGTATTCTCTGGGCTCCAGAGCCCCGGCTCTGCCATGTGCCGGCTCCCTCCTGCTCAAGGAAAACCACCGAGGAGTGACAGCCTCCACAGGCATGAGCAAATGAGCCTGACTGTGGCCTCCTCTTGGAAGAGGTGGAGTCAGAGAGATGCCCTCATTCACTGTCAGCACACATGAGCTCAGGAACTCCAATGCTGCCTTGTCCCTGAGCTAGACTCCCAATTCCCCCTCTCCTCCTGGTAATGTGGGCAGATGTGGGTGTGTGGCTCTCACTCTGACACTTGTGGCCTCTCTCTTTTTTTATCCCCCCCACCCCACCCTCCAGCGATGAACACAGTTCTGCTGAGCAACCTCTTCTCCCTCCCCAGAATTGTTTATGCCATGGCAGAGGATGGACTCTTCTTCCAGATATTCTCCAGAGTGCACCCCCGCACACAGGTGCCTGTGATTGGCATTGTGGTGTTTGGGGTGCTCATGGCTCTCATGGCTCTCATCTTCGACCTGGAGGCTCTGGTGCAGTTCCTGTCCATTGGCACTTTGCTGGCTTACACTTTCGTGGCAGCCAGCGTTGTGGTGCTGCGCTTTCAGCAAGAGAGGTCGGCAGCTCCCCCTCAGCCTGCAGGGAGCCAGTCCAGTCCTGGGCCCAATGAGGGTGCTGGCCCCAGCGAGCTAAAGGAATATGAGTCCTTCTCAGACAAGCTGCAGCTAGTAGGCACTGACAAAGCCAAAGTGCACCGGGAGCCTGGGCAGCTGAAGGCAGCTTTCGAGCCCTACCTGGAGTTTCTCAGAGACTTCTATCCTGGAGAGGTGGTTACGGTTGCTGTGGTGACTTTGATGGTATCTGCCATATGCTTGTGCTCCATCTTGGTCTTTGGCAACACTCATCTTCACCTGCCCACCTGGAGCTACTCCCTGCTGCTGCTGCTCTTTAGCCTGGGATTTCTGCTCAGCTTACTTCTCATTGGGGTCCATGAGCAGCAGCAGAGCACTCAGACCTTTCAGGTAGGCATCTGCCCTTTTGTCCTCATGGCTGTTGTGACATGAGGGAGGTTGGTGTGGTCTTTGCACAATAATCTCTGCAGTAGAGAGGAAGGTTGAACTTATGGCTAATGTGTTTTATCTGGCATGCAAATATCTTGCAACGCTGGCTACAACAGTGCTACGTGAATGCCTGTTCTCACTGTTAGGTGATGTTGTAAATAAGAATCGTGCAGTATTATTTTATGTAAATGTAAACAAACTCGTTTAAGCAATTTGTTGAACAAGAAGTAGGATTGAATGGCTCTAAATTTTTACATTGTCTTGTTTTGGGTGCATCATACAAATACACCTGGTAACTAAATTGCTTATTGTGCCAAGTTAGATCCCTCAGTGTGCTGATCAAGTCATTGATCCCCTCCTTCCTGCCCCCTGGGGTACTCCACCACCCTGTCTTGTGGTCTCCCCCAGACAAGCACAGCATCGGGATTACCACCCTCCTGAAGAGCAACACAGACACTGAATCAGTTCAGCATCCAAGAAACCAGCCCTCCAAAGGGACCAGAACTCGAAACAAATTTGTTTTACACAGAGAGAGCTCATAAAGTCCATCCTCTTTATCAACGAAAGAGAGATATGCACTGTGGTTCCTTTCCCTGCCCTCACTCCTCCATCATCCCCGGTAACAATTATTTACACTGGGCTTGATAATAAACAAAAATATTGTTATTAAATACAAAAAATAGGATTTAAGAGGTGCAAATGAAATCAGATCTAAGTAAATTACAAAATTAAAATAAATGAAAAATGCCAGCCAGTTCTAATCTATTGATTACATGCAAATTCTTACCCTAAATAGCTGTTCTTATCTCAGGTAAAAAGCTTCAAGTCAGAGTTATTTTTTAATCCTGTCTGGGTTTACAGCTTTTCAGAGTTGTTTGTGTCAGGTATCCTTTTCGAGTGTGCCAATTTCAAAGGCCAGCTGGAAACAAAAAATTGATGACTTCCCATTGCTTAAATAGAGTTTTCCCCGGGGTGGGAACTCATTGTTCAGTACTTCCTATCCCCCTGGAAAAACATCAGGTTCAAGATGGATTCCAGTACCACATGGTATGGTCACATTTTTTTCTAGGACCAACCGCAGTTTAGACTTATAGGACAAACAACCATTCACAGATCATTTGTGTGAGCACCCAAAGTGACCCCCCATTAGCAAATTTAAGAACTGTCAACAGTCTCACTTCATATTTCTAATTTTACATACAAGAGTGATACATGCACACAATACACATTCAGCAGATTGTAGCTTTAAAAGTGATATGTTACATGACCTGTTTGCATAAAGCATCTTTGAGTTATGCAAATTCATATCCCTAAGCCAATTTTCATAAAGCGTGGTGAAGGGGCATGACATCTATGTTCACCTGCTTGCTCTCCATGCCTGGTTCAAACTAGTAAGCAAAATATCAAAGTCAGTCCTTTACCCTTTATAAAATCATTCTATTCATTGCAAACAGGGAGAGGTCGTGGGTCAAAATGGGAAGACTGTAGAGTGTTTCTCAGCAGCAATTAGCCACACTTTCGTCATTTGCACATGTGAACTCAGCTTTAGCTGTGGTTGGCCTAAGAGTTCTCGCTCCTTATCACTGGCTCCTGCTTTCCCTGCAGCTACCACTGGTGCCGCTGACTCCTGCATTGAGTATTCTCCTGAACACCTATCTCATGCTCAAGCTAAGCTATATGACATGGCTTCGATTCTCCGTCTGGCTGATCATAGGTGAGTGCAGATGGTGGCTTTAGTGACATTCACTCCCCCTTCTAGCTTGAGGAGCAAGGTGATGCTGGGCTGAGTCATACAGGTCCCAGAGAATGAGGTTTGAGACACACCAAATTCAGACACAGGCAAGGATGTACTTGAGGAAAAGCTGAGCAGTCCGCTTGCACCTGATGCTACAAAGGCTAGGAAATAACCAGAGACCTGATCAGACATCTGGCTGCTCTCACCAGCTATGCCAAGGCTATTGAGGAAATGTGGAAGGGACAAAAGCCAGCGCAGAGCTGAGCTCCCAAAAGAAAAGTGTCACCCTGGCAATTGTCAAACCACTACCCTAGCTTGCATCACTCGAAATCGAGAGAACAAAGGGCAAGAGAGCAGCACCAGCTGCTCCGGGTACCAGAGCTAAGGGAATGATTGGCTGTTAGAAAAGAGAATCAGGAATTTACTGCTTTTTATTATAAAAAGGCCTGGTGGAGTGCAGTGCAGTTTGGGTAAGCAGCTGTTGACCAATCAGCCCCCCACAATGGGAGGAGGATACAAAGGGGGTCGTTGCCCTGGAGCTTGGTGATTCCAAAGGGCCTGGGGTTCTGAGTGACGACCACCAGGAGTCCTGAGCCCTTTAAATCGTCCCTGGAGCACTGTACACCATGGTCTGGGGAACTGTGAAGGCTGGAGGGAGCTGGCACAGCACACAGGGGGCTGGCACCTGGCTTGCCTTGTCTCCTGAAGCTCCACTCCTTCAGGGAGCACAGAGCCACACTCCCCCCGCCCACCACCTTGCTCTGGGTCCCAGCAAGTCTGTCGGCCTGCCTGTGGCCCAGTGTGTAATAAAATGCATCTGTAAAATAACGAATTTATTGGGTTAAAAAAAAAAAAAAGTTCTGTGGCCTTGGCCCTTGGGAGGGGAAATCAGGCCAGTGGCCTGTTGGGGTTTGGTTTTAACTCTGGCAGAATGATCAGAGCTGTTCTAAAAGATAGGAAGTGATGCTCACACATGGTCTGAAATGGGTGGAATGGCCATAAACAGTGGGCCATGTTAAATGCTCATTGGGTGATGGGACAGGTGGGGGCTGGTATGGCCCTGTGGTATTGGCGTTTGGCCCTGCGGTATTAGTGTTTTATTTTCCATTTCTTCCCTTGCCCCGGCCTCCATTGCACATAGCGTCAGTCTCTCCCTTCCTCCCTGACTGCTCAGTTCTGGCCCTCCCTTCTGAGTTCCCTTAGTTTTACCCTGCTGCTAAAACAAATTCTCTCTCCTTGCTGCAACAGGCCTCCTGGTGTACTTTGGTTACGGCATCTGGCACAGCAAAGAGAACCTGCGTGAGCCCACATCCCGCAGCGTGAGTGCCCGCTACGTGGTGTTCCCTAGCAGCAGCCTGGAAGAGACAGTGCAGGCAGTTCAGCCTAACCCCCAACCTTTGACGGGGCTGCCGGAGATGGTGACTGAGGAAGCCAAGCGATGATGCTGCAAGCCTGGGTGTGTCAACATGGTAGCAGCCTCCCTGAGGGAGAAAGGACACCCTACCCCCTTCCTTTGCAGAAACAGCTGGCAGCTCTAGTCTTCAGAGTCCTGAGTTTGCTCAGAAGAGACCAGGCGGTGTTATACATGCTTCCCTATCAGCGCTCACAGCAAAAGTATGAAGGGGCAGGGGAGAGGTTGGTGGGCGGCCTCCTTTCCCATACTCTAGCACACAGGGATCTGGCTTCATCTCCCTACTGCCAGCTCTTAATAATATGTGAAGCTGCATCTTCCCCATCTGCTCCCTCTGAACTTCCAGCCCAATCCTGGTAGCCACAGAAGGCTCACGCTTTTTTTCTACAGTTCCACCGGTCTGTGCCCTGCCCATTCTGAGATGTTGGTGGGGCAGTAGGGCCAGTGTGGGCATGCTCACCAGCACCCGCTGTCCTTTCCTGTGGTCCACAGTGCAGGCTAAAGGCTCTTTAGCCTGATTTCCAGAGGTGCCACACACATCTGTGCAGGGCTGGGCTTCAGGCCTGTTTCCTGTTCTGACACAGATTTCTGGCCACAGCTGAGTCCCTTCTTCCTGTACTCATCCCCATCTGTGGCCTAAGGGCGATGCTTACACAGTATAAGAATTAAGTAGCTGGCGTATGCAAGGCTAAGTGTGAAGTATTAGGTCATTTCCAGACAGGCTTTCTGGGGGTTCTTGGCCCAGGTTCCAGCATGAAGCTTCACCTGGTTTAGGGGGGCTAATGCCCATGGTACATGCATGTGGTTCCCTTATAGAAGAGACAAAAACAAGGGTGATGCTGTGGGGCAGCCCAGGCCTTTGGCCTGAGTGGGGATGGCAAAGGTGAAGGCAGTTTGTTTGTGAACCTCTGTCCAAATGCAGAGGGCGCAGAGATCCCCTCCCCTTGTTAGTTGTTCCTGTGTGAATGGTTTCTAGACAATCCCATTAATAGGTCAGTGAATTAGTGCATCATCTGGGCTGGGCCCTAGATCACTTGTCTCAAGCAGCTGGGTCCCCTGGAGCATCAGCTTGACTCTCATGTTCTTCCAGACTCCCACCTTTGAGTTACAGCCGCTCCCTGAGTTACGAACAAGTTACAGACCAACACTTGGTCCGTAATTCGAAGTGTTCGTAACTCGGATCCCATAGTTACATGGCGACCGTGCTGTTCATAAGCACAGATCGCCGTTCGTAACTCAGATCCGCATTTATGACCACTTTGGTCGCAAGTGCGGATGGTCATAAGTGGAAGTGGTTGTAACTCGGGGAGCAGCTGTATTTCTTAGGGCTCTATGACGCAGAGTGCAACTAGTCCCTGGCCAGGAGAGAGCACACTCTGAAAGTGAGACAGGACCCTGTGTTTCTGAGAGTGGTGGGGGACTTACAGCCTGACTCAGAGCCCCATCTAGGTGACAGCTGCCCATTTGCATTGACAGCAGCCCTCCTTAGGCTAGGCTGTCTCTCAACCCCTCCCACCTCCGACATCAGCCTCCTCTACAAAGGGGCTGCTTTGGATTCCAGCTCCTGTGCCCCTCACCCTCTGTGGCTAGAAGACTCTAGTATCTAAGCTGTCCCTGTTCTAGTGCTAACAGTCATGTAAATTGGCATACAACCTCCCCTGCAAAACCACCTTTTCACATGCTCTCTGTCAGGGCAAGGTCCTTCTGCAGGTCTGTTCACTTCTGAACCCAGCTCTGCCTTTAGGCCAGTGACCACAGAGAGCTGTGATTTACAGTACATATTCCCTGCCTTCCATGGCTGGTCATGTCAGCTGCCCCTCCCCCCACAGGGCTCAGCTGAGCCTGTGACCCAGCAAGAGAGGCAGGTGTGAGATTCTCACACGCTTGTGAGGATGGAATTGTGAATTGGTGAGCTGCGGTTTGAGGCCTAAGCTCTGCCTTTAGGCCAGTGACCACAGAGAGCTGTGATTTACAGTACATATTCCCTGCCTTCCATGGCTGGTCATGTCAGCTGCCCCTCCCCCCACAGGGCTCAGCTGAGCCTGTGACCCAGCAAGAGAGGCAGGTGTGAGATTCTCACACGCTTGTGAGGATGGAATTGTGAATTGGTGAGCTGCGGTTTGAGGCCTAGTTACTAGAATTTATTAGGAGGAAATGGGTAGAACAATGCACGTATCACAAAAAAGCACAACTACCAGGCCTTACAAGCCCCAAGGAGCATGGGGAGAGGGTATGTAAGGCAGTAGACAGGCAAGCAAGGGAAGGGCCACTGGGCTTACATTCCAGTAGCCTGACTGTTTGATTTCTGCCGCCGAGGGCTGCTCCTGAAACTTGTTCAGCCATTTGTCCTCTTTGATAGAGGACAGTCAGGTTCTTTGCTACTCTGTCCTCTATTGATATGAAACAGGATGCCTTTACATCTTCTATTTTCCTTTTGAGACCAGTGCTGAAAGTGAGCTGGTGTGACCCTCTGACAAGCAGCAGCTAGGCTGGGCCCTTGGGGCTGTCCTGCAGACTGCTGCTCCTGAAACTTGTTCAGCCATTTGTCCTCTTTGATAGAGGACAGTCAGGTTCTTTGCTACTCTGTCCTCTATTGATATGAAACAGGATGCCTTTACATCTTCTATTTTCCTTTTGAGACCAGTGCTGAAAGTGAGCTGGTGTGACCCTCTGACAAGCAGCAGCTAGGCTGGGCCCTTGGGGCTGTCCTGCAGACTGCTCAGAGAGCAAGAGGAAAGTGCTCAGCTTGTGCCTTCCTCTTGTTTCTGGCTGCTGAGGGAGCAATGCAGCAGGCTGCAAACTTTCCCCTTGCTCCAAGTCAGAAGAAGAGCAGCAACGATCCGCTGCCCTCCCAAAGTGGGTGCCCTTGCTGCCCTGCACTCACAGCTATGTCCTCCAGCCCTGAGCCCCTCCACCTCCAGACTTGACCCCTGAACTCCCCCAGCATCCTCCTGCCCTGCACCCCCTCTGCTCTAAGTGCAACTGTCTTCTATTCTTGAGGTACCTTGATGGCCACCTTACCTGCAGCGCAGAGGAGGCAGCTGTGGTCCAGCTGTACAGCCATGGGCATTACTTTGTGAATTTGCTGTGACTGTTTGTGCCCTGGTTGCTTCATGCTCTGTCAATGCCAGCCTGCCCTGCCCTGGCACCTGTGTGAAATGTACCATGCCCGGGGCTGCTGTTGCCAGGAGAGTGGTGTGTCCATGCTGTGCTCAGTGCCCCGTGTAACAGCTTGTAACAAAAGTACTGACACTAGGCCCTACTTATAAATTGTGGTCCTGCAATAGCTCTGCCTGGGCAGGAGTCAGTGTACACTGTGCTGTAGTTGAATCTCTTTGAAAACGCAGGTGGCCTGGTGTAAGGCTGAGACCATCCCTGCTGGCTCAAGACCGCAGAAAAGCCCTTCCTCTGGTACCCCACTGCACCCATAGGGACTAGGGCCCCACAAGTTTTGCGCTAGGCTCTTTCAAAGCACCAACGGCTTTGTTGCATGACGCCCATGTCCTGCAGACTGAAGTACTAGGGCTGTGAGGTTGGCTGCTAAAGCTGTGTTTTGGCCAACTCCATGAGGAGACAGGTGTTTGATGCTCCCTTTGATCAAGTCTACACAGCAGCAGGGCTGTGTCTAGACTGGCCACTTGAATTTCCACAAGAACACTGATGATCTCACGTAAGAAATCAGTGCTTCTTGTGGAAATACTATGCTGCTCCCGTTCGGGCAAAAGTCCTTTTGAGCAAAAGGGCCAGTGTAGACAGCTCAGATTTGTTTTGCGCAAAAAAGCCCCAATTGCGAAAATGGCGATTGGGGCTTTTTTGTGCAAAAGTGCGTCTAGATTGGCACAGACACTTTTCCGCAAAAGCACTTTTTGCGGAAAGGCGTCTGTGCCAATCTAGACTGGCATGATTTTCTGCAAATGCTTTTAATGGAAAACTTTTCCATTAAAGCATTTGCGTAAAATCATGCCAGTCTAGATGTAGCCCAGGGGTATAGTATGTGCCCTTCTGTGTCAGCAGCCACACTTTCCATAGCCACAGAGCCAGATTAACACATAGGCACTGTAAGTCCATGCTTCAGTCTGCAGCTTCCTGGGTCATGTGATGAGGTCACAGCTCTTAAGTTATCCATCTCTGGCTGTAGTGGTTGTTTAGAAAAAGTAGAAGACACAAACCTAGTGTGATCAGTGTATTTACATCTCCTGAGAAGTTAACACCCTGATTGTCTGCCTTGCACTGCTCTCTCAGCCCTAGGACACCCAGGGACTCTGTGACTGGAGGAAAAGGGGGGTGGTGGCCCATTCACAGAAGCTGATTCGCCCAGCCTGCTTGGGGAATGTGCTAGAGGGACCCCTCCTCCCACACCTGCCTGTCAGAGGGCTAGGGCAGCCCTGCCCCTTGACACGCCTGCTTCCTGCATGCTGCAGGACTACACAACCGTCTGTTAAGCACCACGACAAGCGCCCTTCCTCAGCCCAGCTCCTGAACTGTCCCAGCCAGGGAAGAAGTGCCCCTCCTCCAGCCTGAAGGCAGGCCCACCCTGGAGCTGCTGCAGCTGGGGGAAAGGCACCTAGTCCACAGCCCCAGTGGAAAGACGTGCCTTTCCCTCCCAGCCCAAGTGCTGCTGCAGGCAGAGAGATCTGGAGGTGTTCTCTCAGTTGTAGCCCTGGAGCAGCCTGTGCCCTAAACCCTCAGCCCCACACCAAAGCCTACACCCCCAGCCACAGCCTTCACCTCCTCCCCTGCATCCCAGACCTCAGCCCCAGTCTCCTCCCAAACTCCAAATGCCTCAACCCTACCCCATGAATTTTGCTGCATGCAGTCTTCCAGTGTGGAGATATGTGACTTGTCACCTCTACATTGGTGCACATAATTCATTCCACACCTGCATGGGAAAAGTTAGAGGCAACACCATTATTTCAGGCAGAGGGTAAAGTCATGGTGGGGAGCAGAGCTCTAAGTGGCTCTGTGCTGGACAAGGCCTAAATGCGTATCTTTGCCTCACCCTCTCTCTCTCCTATCCCCCTCCCCCGTTGTTCTGAGCACCCCTTTTCCTGCTGTTCTCTTACCTGTCCCATTTTCAGGGTGTCTCCCTGCCAATGGTTCACTCTAGGAGCCCAATCAGGTCTCAGAACTCCAGCTATTGCTTGTTTTTGGGCAGTGATCCTTGATCCCACTCCCTTTTGCCTTACACTGTGATTTCTGCAATAAGACAGTCTGCCTACCAGCCTGTACCTGTTTGGTACCCTAGCTCCAAGGGCCATGCACCCTGTATTGCAAGCAGTTATAAGTTACAACACAGCTCTTTCTAATTAGGCATTTTATTCTTAAGTTAGAAACAATAAAAGCTCCCATGTAGATGCTTAAAGCTTACAAGATGTGGCACAACTAGTCCACTTGCTTGTTTTCCTCCTCTGGAGTCCCCAATAACTCCACAAGAACAGTCTTGCCTCAGCAATTCCCCTCTTTGGGCCTGGTTTATTACAAACTGTTCAAATAATGCACAAAAAAGTCCCACAGTCCATTAACTACCCCAGTGCATGTAAGCATTGAAAAATGCTCTGAAAATAGCACATCTGGTCCCTTAGTGCCTTACACAAGACACTGGCATGTGCCACAACCAGGCTCCTCAAACCTTTCACCAGTACAATTACCGCAACCCTCCCAACTAAAGAACAAATTTCTTCTTCTCAGCAAGAAGCTCCACAACCCTCTGCTGGGAGATCTTTCTGACCAGGTGAGCATGCTCACTCACACCCTGGCTCCCAGACCTCCAGCTTCCGCTTTCCTTTGTTAAGCCCAGCTGTTGCTCCTCTATCTTCAGTCCTCTCTGGCTTTGGCCCTGAGGGCTTTCAAGTCAGAAGCCCCTGCTGCTTTCTGGCTTAGGAAAGAAAAAAATTCTTTTGGACATTTTCCCCTGAAAAAAATCATAGTATCCTAGGGTTCGAAGAGATCTCTGGAGGTCATTGAGTCCAGTCCCCTGCCCAAAGCAGGACCAATCCCAACTAAATCATCCCAGCCAGGGCTTAGTCAAGCTGAGACTTAAAAACCTCTAGGGATGGAGATTCCACCACTTCCCTAGGTAACCCATCCCAGTGCTTCACACCCTCCTAGTGAAATAATATTTCCTAATATCCAATCTAGTCTTCCCCCACTGTAACTTGAGACCATCGGCCATCTGTCACTGAGAACAGCCTCCCTCCATCAACCCTTCCCTTCAGACAATGACAGGCTGCTCTACAATTCCCCCCCCCAACCACTCATCTGAGCGC